GAAAGAGTGGGTGGGGCTGGGGGCAGGACCACGTGGGGGCTTTCCCTGTCCTGTGTATCTTATGCATCCATCCATCCATGCAATGTCCCTCCAGATGTTCCCCACATCTGGTTCCACTGTCGCTACTTCATCTGGTTGCCATGGGACACAGTCCCCCTGCCCCCACTAGCTGTGACCCACATCTGGAAACCACTGCCTCTGGATTCCCCTGAGGTCCCAGTTACCTCCTCCATTGGACTCGCCCCTTATACATCTCCCACTAGCCCTCACAGCTGCCCCATTCTTCCCCCTCCCCAGCTTTTCCCCAGTCTCTACGAGCTGGGGCACATCCTGGCCAGTGATGGGCCAGTCCGGCATCGTCTTGAGGCTGTGGCCAATGAAGTGGCCAAGGCCGTGGACAAGGAGCTGCAGGTGAGCAGGGCAGGGCTCTAGGGTTTCCACAGGGGTTGGCAGATCAGTATAGGAGCCCCCAAAGGCTCAGGGTTTTGGGGGGTTGATTTTTGGGGGGTTGTTTGGAGGAATCCCAGGACTTGCAGGGAAATGGCTGAGGGCTCAGTCTGGGGGGATGTCTGGGGTGATGGGAGAGGGGCTGGGTCCCACTGGAGGTCCCCTCAGGAGCCCCACACCTGTCCATCCACTAACCTCTCCTCCAATCCACCAAGTATTTAGCCAACCATGTACCCAGCCATGGTCTACCCATCATCTCCCCCACAACCATGAAACCATGTATAGAACATCATCCATCTATCCAATGTACCGCTCCATTCATCTCTCCATCCATCTGTCCATCTAACATACCTCTCCATCCATCCGTCCGTCCGTCCGTCCGTCCGTCCGTCCAGTGTGCCTCTCTGTCCGTCCAACCATCCATTCATCCATCTGTCCATTCATTCAGTATGCCTCTCCATCCATCCTGCCATCAGGGCCTACATCCCTCAGGGCACACTTGAGAGGGACCAAGTAGGGGCTCCCTGGGGGTGGCTCTGTGCCCTTGGGGTTTCTCTCAGCCCCAGGTCCCCCCATCCCCTCTCCCCCTCCCTCGCAGGTGATCCTGGAGTCCATGGTGACGCTGACACAGGAGCTGTGTCCCCGAGCTGTGCGGGCAGCTGAGGGCCACAACAAGATGTTGGGGGCAGTATCAGAGCGGGTCACTGTCCCCCGCAACTTTGTCCGGGGAGCCCTGCTGGAGCAGGCTGGGCAGGACATCCAGAACAAGCTCAAGTGAGCAGGGAGGATGGGGGTGGAGCTGTGGGAGGAAGGGGATGGCCTAGATGGTGGTGGGCACTGGATGGGGTATGGCCCAGTTTCTGACTCTTGTTCCCACCTCATCCACCCCCAGTGAGGTTAAGCTGTCGGTGGTGACCTACCTCACCAACTCAGTGGTGGAGGAGATTCTCCAGGAGCTCTATAGTGTCCACAAGAGCCTGGTAAGTCCCCCAACCCTGACCCCACCTCCGTGGTCCTGCTATGGGACCTGTCCCCTGGCTCCTCACCCCTAAATCACCATCCCATTCTCCCAGCCCCAGCATCCTCTCCACCCTTTTCCCTAATTTTCTGCCACTCACAATGGGCTCTCTGCCCCCTCCTCCCAGGCCCAGCACTTGGCTTACCTCCGACAGCTCTCCGCAGAGCAGGACAGCTCTGGGGGGGACCTCCAAGACCAGCTTCCCCGGAGCCGGCTCCGAGACCAGGAGGAGACCACAGATGACGAGATGGGGACTGCCATTGTAAGAGGCGGGGGAATCTTGCATTGGAGGGGTGTGGCATGGCCCAGCCCCATCCCTAAACCCCTCAGGGGGCAGGGAGGGGGTGGCCTGGTATGACCACACCTGGGTCACACACCTTGCTATCCCCCTAGGACACCATCGCCATCAAGAGGCAGAAGCATTGCAGGAAAATCCGACCTGCCTCAGCCTTCATCAGTGAGTGATGGCAGAAAGCCAAAACCTCCTCCTCTTCCTCCCTTCATCCATCTGAAGACACCTCCACCTGTCCTGCTTCATAGCCACATGTCCATCTGTTCTTCCATCCACCTGTCACTCCATCCACCCAATGTACTTTTCCATCTGTCCATCTAGCCATCCAACCACCCACCCATCTTTCCCCATCTCAACCACCTTCCAGGTATCCACGATCCATCCATCCACCACTGCTCCAGTCCCTCTACATATCCTTCCAATCCCATACAAACCTCCTCCATCCATCATATAACCCTACCACCATCCATATATCTTCGATGAATCTATTGACACACCTCTCCATCTATCTATCCATCCACCCACCACCACACCTTGCCATACCTTTTTCCAACCATCCACCTATCCATTTATGTGGCCGCCGCCCACCCAGCGGGAAACTACTCCTCTGCCCATCTACGTAACCATCCATCCATCCATCCATCCAGTGTACCTTTCCATCCATCCATCCTGCTATCCATCTACCACTACACCTTGCCATCCCTTTTTTCAACCATCCACCTATCCATTCATGTGTCTATCACCCACCCAGCTAGAAACCACTCCTCTGTCCGTCTACATCATCCATCCATCCATCCCCATCACCCCATCCATCCTTCCATCCATCCACTCACTTCTCTCCCCCTTCCCCTTCCCCTGCAGGCAGCACAGACCCAGAAGCCGAGACCCCTGCACCCTCGGGCCCCGACTCGCCACCAGGTCGGCCCTCGTCCTCGGCCAGCAGCACCCAGGCCCGCAGTACCTCCTTTGAGGTCCTGGCAGACCTCCCCACTGAGGGCACCCGGCTGGAGCATCGCACCCGGGGGCGCCCGGGGCCCCCCCGCAGTGCCCCCCCAGCCCCCCGGCACAACCACGTGAGTCTTGGGCTCGGCCTAGGAACACCTAGCAAGTCTTGTCCCTGGGCACCGCTAGCTCCATGATCTTGTTTTTTTCTTTCTTTACTCCTCCATTCCAGCATTTTTTCATTCACTTTCCTTTTCCATTCACTCATTTTTCCTGTTCCCTCAGCGCATTCATTTCTTATATTGGTTTTCTCTCTTTCCTTCCATTTGTTCCTTTTCTCATTCATTTTTCCCTCTCTTCCTCCATTCATTTTGTTATTCATCTGTTTCTCTTTTTCTCCATTCAATCATTCATTCATTCACTTCCTGGTTCATTCATTCCTTTTCTCCTTCATTTCTTTTTCTTTTCTCCTTGTTTCTTTCTTAGTTTCTTTCTTCCATTCATCCATTTCCCCCACTTTTCTTCCCTTTATTCATTCTTTCATTATTTATTCCTTTACTTTTCCATTTCATCATTTTTTTATTAATTTTTCTTTTCCAGTCATTCATTTTTCCTTTTTCCCTTGGTGCATTCATTTCTTTCATTGGTTTTCCTTCTTTTCCTCCATTTGTTCATTTTCTCAGTAATTGTTCCTTTTTTCCCATTCATTCATTTTCCCATTCATTTCTCTTTTTCTCCATTCATTCACTTGTTCACTTCTTGGTTCATTCTTCCCTTTTGTTCTTGATCTGTTCTTTTTTTCTCCTCGTTTCTCGCTTTACTTCCTTCAGTTTCTTCATTTTTCCCTCTTTTCTTCCCTTCATTCATTCGTTTAGTCTTTCCCTTACTTTGTTCAATCATTTTTTCATACTTTTCTTCTTCGTTCATTCATTTTCCTTATTTCTACAGTTCATTCATTTCTTTCATTGGTTTTCCCTCTTTTTCTCCAATTGTTCATTTTCCCATTCACTTATTTCTCTTTTTCTCCATTCCTTCATTCATTCACACATTCACTTCCTGGTTCGCTCATTCCTTTTTCTCTTCAATTTCTTCTATTCTCCTTGTTTCTCTCTTTGTTCCCTTCCTCCGCTCATTCATTTTCCTTCTTTTCTTCCCTTCATTCTTCCTGTCATTCTGCCTTCCTTTACTCCATTCAGTCATTTCTTCTTCATTTTTCTTTTTCTCCATTCATTTGATCATTCATTCATGTTTTTCCTTTATTCTTCTGTTCATTCTCTTTTTTTGTTATTTTTCCTCGGGATGTTCATTTTCTAGCTTGGTTTTTCCCTCTTTC